GTCTCTAGCTGGCACAGTATTGCTTCTATATGCAGTTGGCGAAAGCACTGAGAGGCCAAGCCCAGATTCAAGGGAGTAGAGAGGAGCACAGTGAATTTATGGCCGTCTTTAATGTACCACACTGACTGATGCAGAAGGCTGTTTCCATAATCCAGGTGAGAAATGATGATGGCTTGAACCAGATTGATGATAGTGAGAAGTGGTTGGATCTTGGTTATACAGTTGACACTTGAACAATGTGGAGGTTAGGGGCAATGAGCCCCACCACACAGTCAAAAATCAGATAACTTTTGACTCCCCCTAAATTTAACTACTAATAGCCTACTGTTGAGCAGAAACCTTACAGATAATATAAATAGTCAAATAATACATAGTTTGTATGTTATATATATTATATACTGTATTCTTACAATGAAATAAGCTAGAGAAAAGAAAATGTCATTGAGAAAATCATAAGAAAGGTAAAATATATTTACTGTTTATTAAGTGTAAGTAGATTATCTTAAAGGTCTTCATCCTTGTTGTCTTCATGTTGAGTGGGTTAAGGAGAAGGAGGAAGAGGAGGGGTTCACCTTGCTGTCTCAAGGGGTGGCAGAGGCAGAAGAAAATTTGTGTGTAAGTGGACCCATGCAGTTCCAACCCATGCTATTCAAGGATAAACTGTATTTTCAAGAGAGATAATGGGGTTTGCTGATTAGGTATGAGCTATGAGAGAGAAAGAGAGGAGTTGTGTTAATCTGTGTCTTCTGTAAAGCAAATGCCCAGATGCAATTAAGCATGTAAGCATTTTATTATTATTATTTCCTGTGTGAAAAGGAAACAGGGAAGGAAGCAGGGAAATCTGGGAGAGTCATCAGACCATGATGGAAGTCTTACCCTTGATGAGATGGAGAGGAAGAAAAAGTTGGGTGGAAAAGTCCAAAACCACCATGCAGTCTAAGAAAGGCTTTGCAAAGCCTTTGGAGAATCCTTGAGTCACAGTTGGCCAACAAAGGAGTCCTGTGTTTCCCAGGAATAGATCTTAGTGTCCCTGCCACAATCAACTACTGGTAGGGAGCAGCCCCTAGAAGAGATGACCTCAGTGTGAATGCAGTGATGAATTTCAAGCACAGCATCTGGGGCTTTAGGTCAATTTCACTTCCTGTGTAGGAGGCCTGTGAGACACATTCTCATTGCAGCCTCTGGAGTCAAGGACAACTCTAAGGTTTTCAATCTGAGGAGTTAAAAGAATGAGAATGTCTTAACTGAGCTGGGGAAGCGAGTAGGAAGAGTTGGTTTGAGGAGGCATATCAGAAATATGATTATGGACATGTCAAGTTTGAGATATCTATTAGACATCCCAGTAACAGCATCACATAAGCAACTGGATAAGCATGCCTAGATATCAGGGGAGATTTCCATGTTTCAGAAAATAAATTAGGGACAATAAGACTCTAAATGTTAAGAAAAATCTCTTCTTGATAAAGTTACCATTACTATATTATTAGCACCCAATTGAGTTATCTTTACTGTATTATCAGTTATCATTATTATATATCAAACAACACAAATATATATGCAATTTTGATAAATGAAATAATTATTAAATATAAAAGTAAAAATTTATTGGAAATGCATCTCTTTATAAGCTATATCTGTGGATGAATGTCACTTATTGCTAGAAAGAATTCAGCATCACACTGTGATCCCATTTTTCATACTTACAGGTTTAAGTGCTTATTCACATAAAAATGCAGATTGGAGTAGAAAGAATTTTATTATGGTAACATCATTTGGGTCATTAAACACCTTCTGCATCATATATCGAAGATTCTATAGTAAACTATTGTGAATTTCTTTGGAGACAGGGTCTTGCTTTGTCACTCAGGCTAGAGAGAATTGGTGCAATCTTGGCTCACTGCAGCCTTGACCTCCCAGGCTCAAGCAATTCTCCTACCTCAGCCTCCCAAATAACTGAGACTACAGGCATGCACCACCATGCCTGGTTAATTTAAAAAAAATTTTTTTTGTAGCAACAGGGTCTCACTATGTTGCCTACGCTGGCCTCAAATTCCTGGGCTCAAGTGATCTTCCTGATTTGGACTCTCAAGGTGCTGGGATTACAGGTGTGAGCCACCATACCCAGCCCCAAAATTAATTTTAATTATCAGCTGATGACACTCATAGGTCTCTCAGCAATTTTGATGAAATCAAAGAATTGGATACAGTGATTAGAGTTATTTGCATTGTCAGCGATAGCCCAAATGTGAAATTGTCTCTCTGTTTGATACCTAAAACATTTTTACTGCCCAGGGCAGTACACCAGTGGAAGATTCTGTAAGGTGAGAGGTGGTCCTTTTTTTCAGTAGAGTTGGAGAGAGAAATTGCGAAAAGGGAAGTAGGAAAGGTGGGTCTGCCTATCTATCACAAGTGTGTCCTAGGGCAGATTTCAGGAGAGAAATTATGAAAATTGAATCCCTTAAATCCTTTTGTATACAGGATGAAAAGTCTTCTCATATATCTGACTGATTGGAAAGGTTCTCAGACAATGTACTGGGGTTTTTTTTTTAGAGGGCAATTGGAGTAGTCTTCCAAGGCATATGGGCATAGGAGCACTTTGAGGACCTGAACTGAGAGGCCATGAGTTGGTATAGGGCGAGGTTTTCCTAGCCTGGAGTAAAGTGGTTTTGCTTTCCTGGTGTCTCAGGCCATGCTGAAGAATAAAGTCCAGGTTTAGGCTTGGGTCAAAGTTAGGTGAGGGTATTGGAGAAAGCAAGCTTATGTTGGTGATAAGGGGGTTGCCTGATGGACATGGAAGATGGGGGGCTGAACCCGTTCAAAAATTGAGGCTGGGTGTATGGATTGGAGATGAACTTAGGTTCTGAATCAGCCTTGAAGGGTTGTGTGAGGAGCAGTGATAGTTAGGATGGGGAGGGGGGATGGATAAATTACTTCATCTCAAGAGGTCTGACTTCTTAGATCACCTCTTCCTACTCCCTTGGCATCATAAGGTCTCCTCACAGTGAAGATGGCTGGGAAGCCTGCTATAAGGTGCCCCGGGGCCCGTTACCCCCTTAGTGTCATGGAGAGATCACTGCATTAAAGTCAGGAAGCCAAAATTAAACCTGCATCTATCCCCACTGTCTGTGTGGCCTTTGGAAAAGTCCATTATTAGCCCCAGTTTTGTTGCCTCTAAAATGAGAGCAAAATATTTGCTTCTGCTGTTTTTTAATGTAGTAAAAATCAAAGGTTAATATTGGAATGTGCTTTCTAAATTATTATGCACTGTATAAGTAAAGGCACAAACAATTCAATTTGGTGTCAGTGGGTACCCACTATGTGTCAGGCAGCATGAGGCAGGGAGTGCAGGGGTTAGACATAGAGGGCTGTATGAGGACAGAAACTGCCTAGGGTGAAAGCCAGATACTGATAAAACTCAAAATAAAGGAAAATGAAAGAGATATACTTGCTGTGCTGGTAAAGCAGTCTGGAGACACAAGGGGGAGGTGTAATCAATTTCAGCTCAGGGGATCCAGGAAGGTGTACACGGAAGTGGAGGGGTTTGCCTCCGGCCATGAAGGCTGAGTGGGAATTTGCTGAATAGAGAAGTGACACAAGAGCATTACAGGCTGAGCACCAACAAGGTGGTAATATCAAGGTGTGGAAATGCCTGGAATGTGCAGATGACTGTGGACATATACACTAGATTCTCTTTTTGTCTTTCTTTTTTAAATTTTTATTATAAATTTTTATTATACTTAAAGTTCTGCGATACATGTGCAGAATGTGCAGGTTTGTTACATAGGTATACATGTGCCATGGTGGTTTGCTGCACCCATCAACTCATCATCTACATTAGATATTTCTCCTAATGCTATCCCTCCCCTAGTCCCCACCCCCCAACAGGCCTCAGTGTGTGATGTTCCCCTCCCTGTGTCCATGTGTTCTCATTGTTCAACTCTGACTTATGAATGAGAACATGCAGTGTTTGGTTTTCTGTTCCTGTATTAGTTTGCTGAGAATGATGGTTTCCCGCTTCATCCATGTTCCTGCAAAGGACGTGAACTCATCCTTTTTTATGGCTGCATAGTATTCCATGGAGTATATGTGCCTCATTTTCTTTATCCAGTCTATCATTGATGGGCATTTGGGTTGGTTCCAAGTCCTTGCTATTGTGAATATTGCTGCAACAAACATACGTGTGCATGTGTCTTTATAGTAGAATGATTTATAATCCTTTGGGTATATATCCAGTAATGGAATTGCTGGGTCAAATGGTATTTCTGGTTCTAGATCCTTGAGGAATTGCCACCCTGTCTTCCCCAATGGTTGAACTAATTTACACTCCTACCAACAGCGTAAAAGCGTTCCTATTTCTCCACATCCTCTCCAGCATCTGTTGTTTCCTGATATTTTAATAATTGCCATTCTAACTGGTGTGAGATGGCATCTCATTGTGGTTTTGATTTGCATTCCTCTAATGACCAGTGATGATGAGCTTTTTTTCATATGTTTCTTGGCCACATAAGTGTCTTCTTTTGAGAAGTCTCTGTTCATATCCTTTGCCCACTTTTTGATTTTTTTTTTCTTATAAATTTGTTTAAGTTCCTAGTAGATTCTGGATATTAGCCCTTTGTCAGATGGATAGATTGCAAACATTTTCTCCCATTCTGTTGGTTGCCTGTTCACTCTGATGATAGTTTCTTTTGCTGTGCAGAAGCTCTTTAGTTTAATTAGATCCCATTTGTCAATTCTGGCTTTTATTGCCATTGCTTTTCGTGTTTTAGTCATGAAGTCTTTGCCGATGCCTATATCCTGAATGGTATTGCCTAGGTTTTCTTCTAGGGTTTTTATGGTTTTAGGTTTTATGTTTAAGTCTTTATTCCATCTTATGTTATTTTTTGTATAAGGTGTAAGGAAGAGGTCCAGTTTCAGTTTTCTGCATATGGCTAGCCAGTTTTCCCACCACCATTAATTAAATAGGGAATCCTTTTCCCATTGTTTGTGTTTGCCAGGTGTGTAAAAATATGGAACGCTTCATGAATTTGCATGTCATCCTTGTGCAGGGACCACACTAATCTTCTCTGTATTGTTCCAATTTTAGTAAATGTGCTGCTGAAGCAGCACAGATCCTCTTTTTTTCTTGCTATTTGAAATGCTATTGCCATGAGCACTCATATATATGCATACATTCTTAAAAATTTCTCCAACTATTTTCTGAATATAAATGTTTAAAACTGAAATTAATGCATCAAAAAGCTCCTTGTAGGCACATTTGCATTCATACTACTTACCATATTACCCTCCAGAAAGGTGATGCCCTGTCTCTTGTAAGACGGTGATGGCTTTACCATACTCTTCCCCTGAGCCTACAATTACTTTTTATACCAATAGAACAAGATAACAATTTCTGAGGATGGCGTTTGATCCATGATCTACAACTTGACCACAAACCTGCTTTTCAATTTTGTTTTTATCTCGGAGGTAGTATGCACAGTGGTTAGAAACACATCTTTGGAAGAGGCTGCTTGGTATTGAATCCTGAATCTATTGCTTTATAGATGAGTATTCCTACAAAAGTGACTGAGTCTCTCCCTGCCTTGATTTCCTCATCTCTGGGGGAAGTGGTTCTATTAAAATTTGGGTGGGAGCTCATTTTTTGTTGTCAAATTTTCTTATGTTGATTAAGCATTATGAGTATTATTTTTAGAAATCTTGTAAAATATGAGTGGTTTGTCATAATCAGATGCCATAAGCACAGTGAATCTGAGAGGCACGGGGAGGCTGGCAGAGCAGCTTGGACAGAGGTGCTTGGGGCTGGGGAGGAGAGATGGCAAGGGCTGAGTTGATGGTGGTGAAGATGACAAGGGAAAGGGAACCATATATAAGGATAAGCAGAGAAGGCTAGCAGAGGGAGAGCTCGGCTGCATGTGAATGTCTTGAGGGCTTGAGGCTCCCTTTCCAGTGTGCCTGCTGCTGCGCTCTGCCCACTATCCTTCCAAAGTCTAGGGGATGCGGTGGTTTTCTTTCACTCTGCCTGTGGGGAAAATATTAGGCTGTATTCAGCATGCTAGGGAGAGCTGAATTTTATCGCTAGCTCACTGCACCACTGGTTTTATCCCAGCTTCGAAAGTGTTTTTTAACAGAAAATGCCATTTGGATGAGACTGTCTTTCTCATCCTTCACCTTTGCTCTACCCTTGCTTGTCTTTACTCCTTCATTATTGTATCTCCGGATGTGTACCATAGGTAAGCACCGTGGCACATGCTGTGGGGGACATATATAGGAAACAACATGAACTTCATTCTGCAAGGGACACAGAAGGGTGCCTCCAATCAATCTCTCATTGCTTCTTTCCCCAGAAGACTTCAGAGATCACAGCTTTGACAAGGGAACGAGGGAAGAAGACCACTCTTTGTTGAATTCCTACTGCTACTTGCCAGGTAGCATGCTAGACACTTGTATTGTGGTGTGTCCCCCACCAGATTACTTAAGGGTATATGCTCACTGCTTGGGCCCTAAAGGTTAGGTGAGGAGCCAGGGCCATGGTACCCAGCCGAGGGACAGATGTTCCCAAGAACCCAAACATCCCAGAGAGTATCTAAGAACCTACCAAGGAAAACAGTCCCATCACACACACACACACAGTAAAAAAGAGCCAGAAAATCAGCTTAAAAGCAGCTTAGAGACAGAAAGTGATATAGATCTCTACAGCTGTCCTACTGCCACCCAGGAGTGTCCCATATCTAAGTCTTAATAAAGTCATCTACTCGCCAAGCTGGACTTGTCTGAGTCTTCTTTGGTCTCTCAGCATCTTCCCAGTTTGGGAGGCAGGAGTGGGTGTTACAGTCCCAAGTTTTTCTCATTACAACACTGTATATAAATGTTCTTGTTTAATCCTCTCAATGACTATAGTGGTATTATTATCTCATTTTACAGTTGAACAAATTGTGGCTCAGAGAGTTTCAGTAACTTGTGCAAGGCCATACAGCTAGAGATTGCAAGACAGGTTTGTGTGGCTGACATTTGGCTCCACTCTGGCCTTTTCTATCTTTACCATTGTTGGCCAAAGGACTATGGAAACCCATATTCACCCTTCTGCTGTTCAGAGGATCTCACTTATACTTATTCCTGGAGGGAGGTGAGATTATGGAAGTGAAGTCACAAGCAGAGTTTTCCCACACGTTCTGGTAAGCTATTGCTTCTGAAAGGAGGCATGCACATTGGCTAGTGCTATGAAGGGTGTTGATGTCTTTGGACTGGTAGAAGTTCTGGAGAGTGGTGAACTTTCAGGTAACCTCCTCTCTCACGTTCCTTAGGTCCACACTGAAAATCTGGCTTGGTTACCTATGGCATGAGGAAAACCATACCCAGTTCAGCAAGAAATCTAGTGGTGTCCTAGTTTTCTGCAGAAAACCCTGGAAGTCACGTTGGTGCTGCAGCTGCCGCTTCTGACTCTGGATTTTGGTGATTGATTATGAGAAATGGGCTGACTGCGGGGCATCCTGCAGAAAGGAAGTTAGCAAGCAGCCAGGTTCTGGGCCGATTTGGTTTTATCCATGGCATGGCTTCTTTCAGGTTTCTGTTGATTAGCTCTCTTGAGAACAGTGGCAGCTTGGCTACTCTGTGGCAGCCTGGGGTGTCTCCCAGGACAGGCTGGTTGCTAGGCATCCTGAGGTAGTGGCTGCCATGAGAACTGCAGGCAGCCCAAGCTGTGCTGTGCTTAGCACTCCAGGGCTTCTGACAGCCCTGATCTGACCATCTGATATACCAGGAAGGCGTGTTTCTTGTTGAGGGAGAGGAGGACATTCCCTAGAGGCTGATCGACATTTAAGGCTGCACATCTCTTGTATTCCCTGTGGGGAGCTCCAGGAAGCTCTTCTGACAGGCTGGGTAGAAGGCTTCCCTGTGGGAGTTCATAACATCACATCTACACTTTTATTCATGCAGTTATCTCGGTAAGTTGAAATGATGTACCTAAGAAGTTAAAAACAGATCACTAGAGGAAGATGGGGAGTCAGTGGCCCCAGTACCCAGAATAGTGCCTGGAACATGAGAGATGCACAATCAATGGAGAATTGTTTGTGGGGCTGCGAGGGCTGCTCTTGGAGATTCAGGTTCCTTCCGTCTTCCTGATCTGCTTCTGTCCTCACAAGCAGTTGCAAGATGGCTGATCTGTTTTTATAACACATGTCTACATTACAGACAGTAAGAAGGAAAAATTGAGACAGAAAAAAGTTGGACTTTTATTGTATAAGCAAGGCTTTTCCTGAAAGGCTTTCCCAAACTCCCTTGGCTATCTCTAAGCCACAAGGGAGTTTGGGAAAATAAATGTTTTCACCTGGGCTTCTTGCTCTCTTAGACAAAATCAGGATTCTTTTAGCCAGTATGAGAATGTATTAGTTTTCCAGGGCTACCATAACAAAGTACCCTAAACTTAAATGGTGGAAATGCATTGTCTCACAATTCTGGAGGCCAAAAGTCTGAAGTCAAGGTGTTAGCAGGGTTGGTTCCTTCTGAAGGCTGTGAAAAGAATCTGTTTCCTGCCTGTCTCCTAGCTCTTGGTAGTTTCTTGTCAATCTTTGATATCCCTTGCTTTGTAGGTGCATTGCCTGATCACTACCTTCATCTTCATATGATGTTCTCCCTCAGGACATGTCTGTTTCTGTGTACAAATTTCTCCATAAGGATGCAATCATATTGGATTAGGGCTCCTCCCAATGACCTCATTTTAACTCGATCATCTGCAAAGACTATATTTCCAAATAAGGTACATTCACAAATACTGCAGGTTAGGATTTCAGCATCTTTTGGGAGAGCACAAGTCGACATATAACAGGAAGTTTTAAAACATAGCCTTCAAAATCTTTGACACTCCTCTTATCAAGAGGTGATGTCTATGCCCCTTCCCTTGAATCCGATTGCTTGTGATTGTATCAACTAACAGTGTATGGTGGAAATGACTTCAAAAACTAGGACATAGAAGGCCTTGCAGCTCCTGCTTGACTTTCTTGGGACAATTTGGAAGAAGCCAGTTGCCATATTAGAAGTCTGAACACCCTGAGACTACCATCCTGGAAAGGCCAGATGTAGGTGCTCTAGCCAACATCCCCAGCTGAGCTCCTGGCCAGTAGCAGTGTCAATGCTAGCCTGTGTGTGTGCCATCTTGGATGTCCAGTCCAGTTGAGCCACCAGAGAACTACAGCTCCAACTGCCATGTGACTGCAACCACATGAGAAACCCCAAGCAAGAACTACTTTTATAAGCTTTTCTTAAATTCCTCAAACAAAGTTATGAACAAAAGCAAATGGTTGTTTTTAAGTCACTAGTTTGATAAATTGTTGCTTAACAACAGAAAGCTAGAATAATCAGTAACTCTGATCAGCCAAGAAGAGCAGTGGGGCCTCTGAAATTCGGGAAGAATTGTCATCAGGAGGATGGCCCCCATGAAACCCCTTGTCAGAGGTTTTGTATTTTTAAATTTCCACTGGAGTTGGGACTCTTTTCTTCATGCTGAGATATTTGGTTGAGTGTTGATAATGGTAATGTCGTCTGACTGTTTAAATAATTATCTTCAAGGGAGAAGTTACATCAGGGATTATCACTGTCAACTGGTATAATAAAGGTGGTGGTCCCTGGCTTGCCCTATCATCAATAGGCTGCTGAACCAAGGGAGAATTGTCATTGAAAAACACAATGCTAGCTTGTATAACTTGTTTCACCAACCAGCAGGTACCTTCCCCTCCCCCATGTTACAGCCAAAGGCACTAGTAGTAAGGCCTTCTGCAAGACCTTCAATTATACAACATAGTTCTCAGCTTCACAGTTTATTCTGGGGACCCCAGAGCCAGACTCTGCCTCTCAAATGATGGGTGAAAAAGGGGCTTGTCTTATGATAGAATTTTCTGAATGTATTTACAGTCATTCTGTGCTGAATAGCTCACCTGTGGGTGGCTGTTCTGCCTCTGGTGTCTAAATCCCACTGCTTTTCTATACTCTGTGTGCTTTGCCAGATCTCAGGACTTGTCATTTCTCTTTTAGCCCTTCTTCAGACCATGCCTAAGCTGAATGCTTGCTTGGGTTTGACCTTTATTCCATTTCTCTTGGCTTCTTCAAATTCACCTTTA